TTAATTATGAAGAGCTATAACGGGAGCGCGGCCTTTTACATCCGGGCCGCCTGCAACATCTCCGCGCGCTTTGGCCGCGTTACCTGCGGCGCGTCTAAAAAGTTGAACCGAATGTTCCGCGCGAGAGCGCCATTGTTGCCTCTGTCTCTGCCGACAATGTAGCTCTTTATCCCGGCCGAGACGGGGAATAACGCGCGGTAATATCTCAAGTAATTACACAACGCACTTGTACGCGTCTCGTACACGGCTCTCGACGCGGTATAAATAGCCGTGAGTTTACGTGGCGGACGTTGATTTTCTTCCCGCGGGAAAATAAACGAGAGACCAGCGCCGTGCGATAATACCTCCCTCCTCCTGGCTACTTCCGCTTCCCCCCCCCCCCCCCTTCCGAACGAAAGGCCTNCCCCCCTCCTTCCGAACGAAAGGCCTCGCGGAAGGCTGAGTAAACGCCGCATATTCCTCAGCGTAATTCCGGAACATCCGTCTCACCCGCTCACGAAGACGTCGTGGCGCGAACGCCCGTATCGCGCATTACAGCCGGAAATCACGGAGAAGTCGGAGATCATGCAGCGGCCGTTATTAAAAGTCCACGTCCGAGTACAGACGCGTAGAACGCAGAACACCGTCGGCTCGGAGCGACGGAGGCGCTACAAAACGCGCCGTGATTCGCACCAGACAAGCCCGACAACGCGCGCTCGCGACGGCCGCAAGACAACCCCCCTGGACACCGTTCACATCTATTTCTTTCACGAGTCAACGGACGCACACCGGAGTATCACAGCTGCGACGACGAAGAGGCGAGGGGGAGGGAGATGAAGAAGAACCGCGACAATGCGAGACACACGAGTGATGGAGAGAGAGAAGGAGAGAGAAGGAGAGAGAAAGAGAGCCGGTGCAACGCAAAGTAGAGACGACGAGTCGCGAGATGAAAAGGCAGAGGCTGCTCGAAATGAAAGTCGTCGGTGCCTGCGACGAAAAAATGCACCACACACACACACACACATATATATGTACATACACAGAGATAGAGAGGGAGAGAGAGAGAGAGGGTTGATCGGCCCTTCCGCCCCGGTGGAACGTTTACCCTTTGCTCAGCGGCATCGCCACCCCCGTGGCGCGCTCGATGCCGTTGGTAACGAAGAGCGTGTCTCGCGGACGGTGTGTGCTGGTGTGCGCGACTTGGACGGTCTAACGGCGGAGTGGCACGCGGAGGACCGTGATCGATATCGCCGTTCTGTCCCTCGATTGAGAAATGGGAGATTTCTTCAGCCCCTGGCCTGATAACGCGCGCACGCGTCTATTAGACGGCTTTTTCGGCGGACAGATACGTATCGAAAATGCCGATACAGGACGGAGGATTAAAAAATATCGCGTACGGGCGCGTGAGAGCGCGCGACGGGGAAGACCTCGTTTGACTGACACACGTCGAGGAGGGAGAGTATCGACGATGAACGGAATTGACGTTTGATAGTTTAATCGGTTTTCGCGCACGTCGGAAGTCCCGTCCTAATTTCGTGTTTTTGTATCGCCTCGCGGATGTTCCCGCTCCGGGAATCATCGGATCGCGTCGCACAGTCGCGCGCGCGATTCGCCCTGTCGAATATTAATTTTCCGCGCTGACCATTTCTTCGTTGCGAGACACGGTCGCTGCTCTGCTGGCAGCGCGCACACCGTTCCCCGTGTGTGTAAAAATTCCCCGGCGAAACGGAGCCGCGATAGCTCTCGCGAGACCATCTCTCTCTCTTTCTCTCTCGTATGTTTTGCATCTGCATTATTCATCATTCGCGACGTGACATAATCGATAAAGCGATACGCGAGCTGCGCGCGGAGAAGCAGTTAATAAGCAATAAAAGCTGCACAGCTGCGAGGTAAAATAGACGATATGCTCGGGCGATGCGCCGCGGGGGTAAAACGCGTTGAAAACTCGACTTTCTCATAGAAAGTTCTTCTCTGCCCTCCCTACCCCCTTCCCTGTCTCCCCGACCGCGCCTTTATTTTTCTTACATCCCTGCTCGAGAGTATCCCCGGGCAAGGTATCGCGTTTTATCTAGCCCCTTGATCCCAGATTCTGAACTCTCCATATCGCATTATATGCGCGTGCGTGTGTACATTTACACATGTATTTACATACACACGCACGCATACACGTACCGGCCACACGGAACAACGATTTTCTCGCTCACACGCGGACGGTTGTGTGCGAAGTAGGATACAGACGCCAATAAGAATAAATACAAAATATAAATATATATATATATATATAAAATAAATACCGGATAGTCGGCGCGGTTATGCGTCGCGATAGGGAGCGAGCGTGCATACTGTGTAGCTCGCGGCGAGCGAGTGCGATTCGGCGCTTTCCATATCTGCGCCTCGCAATCTCCGACAACAAAATTTGCCTGCCGTCCGCCGCCGCAACACAGGTGGACGTTGTCTGGTCGAGTGGCCAGCGCGGCAGCGACCCTCTCTGCCACCCCCCCACAGGCGCCGGTATCGATTATGAAATTGCGCCGGATAAAGCAAACGAGAGACCGCGCGCGAGACACGAGCTTCGGCGCGCTATGGTGGTTTCTCTCGCGCTCTCGCGCGCGTATCGGCGCCGCTGTTGGTTACCGTTCCGATTATATCGGGGCCGATGCAGCGAGCTCCCTGGTAGACACACACGCGAGGACGCACCATTGCCGCTCGTCACCTCGCGGGGGTATGTACGGCACGTTCACCCCGTGTGTCGCGTTATGCACCGCGCGTCTTCGTCGCTTTCACCGCGCCGGACGAGGGCGCAGTTCGAAGCCCCCCCCCGTTCTGCTGCTGTCGCTATTCGTCTCTATCAACGAGCCGTGCGTTAAGCTGTTCTCTTTCCCCGTCCCCGCTCTTTCGCGCCGTGCACCGCGCCGCTATAATTCCCGATGCTCGGCCGAGCTCGCCGCTGCGGAAGAGCATTAGATCGCATCGCCCCGCATCATTATCGTTCGATCACTCGCGGAAGAATCGAGAGTAGCAGAGAATAGATAGGTAGATAACCAGCATCCGTCTCTCCCAGAACCTCCTTCCTTCGACCCGAGGACGCATCCGGTTTAAGCTTGCTTGCTTGCTCTCTCTCTCTTTATTTCTCTCTTTAGTAGCGCGCCAAAGTTTCGAGCGAGCCGCCCGACTCCGCCACGTTCGACTATTTCGACTATTTAACGAATGCGCATACCGTGAATGAGGGTGAATCTCGCGCGATACAACGTGTCCCCGATAGCGGAGGATTCGTTAAACTTTTCGGGCGTGCTTATCGCGCGCATAATTCGCGCGGAAACGGAAGCACTCGTCGTCGAGGTGCGATTTTACGCACAGCATCCGTAAATAGATCAGAAATTGCACGAGAGCGCGCGACGTCGGTTCGTTATAGTTCCTGCATTTCCGCGCTATAGTTAAGCGGATTCGTATTTACGCTATATTGCAGTTAATAGTAGCATAACTAGTTGCCGGGGGGGTATCGGAGCACCGTTCTAATGCCTCGGTCTATACACTCTCGCGTATTAACAATTCACGTTGTCGAGTAACAACAGTACGCGAGGTATACACGGGAAATTGTGCCGCGAGTCGTTACGCTATTTCCGCGTTCGCGACGAGATTGTCCACCGGCTCGTATTTTTACCCGAGCTATATCGCTGGTAGCGTCGTTCTTAAATTAATGTCGCCCCGCAGGCAATTTTTATTCGGAGGCAATTCCGAATCTGGAAACTTCTTCTTGCGCCGCACGTGGATGTACGTTTGAAAATCGGGCGGGTGGAGGGAGGGAAGCTAATAAAATGATCGCTCGCAAGCTGAGACGAACACGCGCTTTCCCGGCGCGATTTTCACGTGCTTCGGGAACTACTTCCACGGCGTGTGCGCGAGAGAAATGCTTTTAAAATATTCGCGGAGCCGGTATAATGGCATAAAAACTGCTTGGACTTTACGGCGGTCGAGGAATCTGCATTTCTAATTTTTATACCGACATTCACGAAATAACGTCGCCTCCGCGATGTAGTAAAACGCGGGATTTGCGGAATCTCCACCGTCGCGAAATTATAACGCCAGAAATTTTTTGAAAAATTTGGGTCGGTCGCGCGGAATTACAACAAGATCTAGGTGGTATAGTTTTTCTTCCTGGTGAAATGTCAAAATATTTTTTCCCGGCGCGGCGAAAGAATTGTTGCAAATATGAAAAATCCCGGGGAGCTGTGTAAATAAAAAAGAAAACGGAGGGGGGGAGGGGGAAGTTGCAAAATGCCCGGAATCCTCGATGACGAGAGAGGGAGGGGGAACAGAGGGCGCACGAAGAAAGTTTCGCGGGTGATTTTGCGGAATTAAAGCAAACATGCGAATCCACCGCCGCCGCGTCGGACTTTCGCTCGGAAAATACGGGAATAAAACGTTTCGCCTTCGCTCGAATTCACGGAATTTCACCGCTTGCCGATTTCGCCCGCCCTCGCTCACGAAAGACGACGTTAGCGAAGGCTGCTTTGCGTTCTCGCGGATAAAAAGAACCGCGGCGACAAGCGCCCGCGGCTCCACATACGGGAGTGTGTGTGTGTGTGTGTGCGTCATGATATTGATCGACTTCAACAACTGGGGTGCCATTAGTCGTATACTTTTTCGCCTAATAGTATGAACTATTGCGGCTGAGAACTCTGCGGAGAGCTCACGCTGGTAACCTACTTTTTAGATCGCGCCAGGATGGAAAATCTTTTTTTCCGGAATCAGGTCGTCGCGCGCATAAAAGACGCCGCGAAATGCGGCGGTAGGTGCATGCAAGTAGGTCAGAGCCACCGTCCACGAAGCCACGGAGAGTTTATTCGTCGAAGTGAATCAATTATTACGATGATTATTCGCCGCGTCGGAGAAACAAACAAACGCGGCCCGGACAGCTCGCTTCGCTCATCAGAGCAAGCGACCAGCGCGACGTGACGAGGGGGAAAACGCGGCCGTCCCTCGGTGTTTGCGCTTGTGAGAAAAATCAAGCCTCTACTCACTTGATTCGATTATAAACTAGCAGCTCGGCTATCTCCCGGCCCAGCCTCGAGTACAGCGTCTCCACGAAGACCAACACCTTCGGGTCTATCCTCAGCCGTGCCTCACTGCGGTGGTCCGGCGCCGATGGCAGTCTGGTCGCACCTCGCAGGGTCGAGCATCGTATCGCCGGCTCAGGCCTCGTGTCTCGATGTATCAGACTGCAACGACAGAAATGCCCGTGTCATATTTTCAAGGCCATCGAAGGGAAGGTTCCCCGCCGATATCAGCTATTGATAATCATGTACTTTGGGGGAGTTTGAGGAATTTCCGCGTTATCGATCATACGTGCAACTTATTTTCCCCGGGCCGAGTCTAGTATCTCGACCGAGCAATCAACGACGAGCTTTACATATTTATGAGATATTTTCTCCCTGTAACGCGCGCAAGTGCCGGAGCTACGCCGTCGAATTACAGTTTTCCGCGATAATACGAAAACGGCTCAAAGAGCCGGCGGAGGAACGTTTCGATTGGCCGACGGCGCGGGCGAATTCTTCCACCGAATTCTTCGTAACGAAACCGCCGTAACGAGAACGACCCCTGCGAAGAATGCCTGGCAGCTCTTTCAACGTGTCCTCAAAGTTCCTCTTTCACCGGTAGCAGAGGTGAAGACGGGATCGCGTCCCTCCTTCCCCCCTCCTCTCGGTATATTCGCGAGAACGTGAATGTAACAGCGACGCGGGAATTTTGGGACGTATGCGCGCGAGGCTCCCACAAAGGATCCTTTAGCACCGCAGCAACGAGCCCTTCCGGACAACCATTAACATCGAGCATTCTACGAGTCTCCTGGCATTTACCGCATGTAAACCTCAGATCTCCTCTCTCTCTCTCTCTCTCTCTCTCTAAGACGTAACGCCGGCATGCCATGTGGTTGCGGAACAAAATGAAAAGTGCGAGACATTTAATGAAAAATATATATTGAAATATATAATATATTATTATTACTTTTTCATTATACTTTATTTCTCCAGCTGTATGAATGTGCCATAAGACAATTTTTACGAATACGTCTCCGAGAGATCAAAAGGGTTTCCTTATCTGGAGCGGCTAAGAATAAATATATTTCATGAATTTTTTTCATTGTAAATGGCAAGGTTCTGATAGTTGATCTTTCTTGAAAATTACTTTATGATATTTCGACAATATTTCAACATTTTTGGAAGTATATAAAGCTAACAGTATTGATAACCCAATAATGTTAATGCACTGTAAAGTTAAAGCACTGCGAGAAAAGTTGGATTGAATGGTGACCGTTATTATATTTTGTCCGATCATCGGAAACAGGTGAATAAAATTGCATTTTACTATTTGTGGGCCATCGTTTGAACTAGGACAGCTAAAAAACATAGTAAAAAACATAGCAAATAATAAAATAGCGACACATATAAGCGACAATAATAAAGTCGACTTGTCGGATAGTTCTCGAGATATTATGGTCACCAGTGAACAATGTGATTTCGAAAAAACACGTTTAAAGTTTTATATTAGAATCTCACAATAAACATTTTCATACTCAATAATTTCAGAGAAACTATTTCGGTCAATTTTCTGTTCTCTTCTAGCTATCCCGACCTGCTTTATATGAAGAGAATCTCATTCGGAACACGCTTTAACCTAATGTCATCGCGATTTTCCGCAATAGCTTTTGCAATAAGTTCGATTTTTATTCTCATTATTGACTTTATTTCTAAAACGGAATAAAATCCTTTATTAAATTTCTTGTGTATTTTCATATGTACTGCTCGAAAACGTTCTGTTCGCTCATTCTCTTAATATTGGTAACAGTTTGAATATTTTGACCTTAAAACTACAACTAGACCAAAATATATCATTAAGAAGAGAACGTCTATATAAGGGATATAAGGAATACGTAAGACCAAAACTTATACATAAGTCTGCTCGTGAGAATAAATATTCCAATACGGGGCGGTAAATCTCAACTTCTGTAAAAAGAGATTCCGGTCAGCGAGCATCACTCTACTCAAACACTTGTAACTTCGTTAATTTTACAGATATCACCGAATGATTTAAAAAATACATTTTCGAGACCTAAAACATGAAGCAAATGTAAAAGAATCGTAAATTGTGGAGTTTTACATGAGGAAACCCTTTCAACCACGCACCTAAGTGAGCACGAATTATTCTTTCCGAGGCGAAATTTTTTCTCTGTTCTTTTTTTTTCTTCCTAGTATTTTTTAATTCTGTTTATAGTTCCTCTCTTTCGCGCACGAATCTGCCGGCTATACGTATATCTCGTAATTTGTTTCACGCGTGGACCCTGAGAATACGGGCTTGGGACTACGGATTACGTCCCTAGTCGCTAAGCCCCTTTATGTTCACATTTGTCACGGGGATCCAGTGGTGCATTATCGGCACACGCATCAAATTAGTACGTGTCCGGCAGCTAGGCGTCTCGTCATAAACCACCGAAAATCGGCCGCTTTGTAGCAAGGCAGAATAAGCTGGTCGCGATGTCCAAACACATGCCCGGGGCTGATTTTCATAATAGAACGGCAACACAACTATTACCCGGCATACGGATTGGCGGAATTATTAATTACAACGTCAACAGGATCAATTGTTCCCGTAATTGGTACCTATATGTCTGCGTTACAACACCCGCTGACGCGTAAAAACGCGTTGAGCGCGCGGCGCGCCGAATTACGTCGAAATGAATACGGGCTACTGCAAACGCGCGTTCCAATTAACGATACCGTGTGTCGAGTGGATCGCTAATACCCAAATTAACGGACGTAAAGGAGTCTCGAGATAGAAATGGGGAGGGGGGGGGGAGGGGAGAGAGGCGTCGCGGTCTCGAAGGTAGCGAGATGAAATTTTACGCTCGCACGCTCGAAGATCCTCATCCATCTTCGGGATTTTCGTCGAGCACGTGTAAAAACTAGCGCGAGTTTTTAAATCGATGGAAAAAGGGTGTGTTTGTGAGGGGGCGAGAGAGTGAACGAACTCGAGAAGCCTGTTGGCCACCACTGGCCTCTGGATGGGAGCGAAACGGCGGATTATCGATGATGCACTTGCGCGCTTCGCGGCTCTTATCCGCCGCAATTTACAATTTATACACATTAGGCGTCGCGTCAGTAGGTGTACACGCACGGGGAGCACAGCAGCTTCGGTCGAATCAACATTTGCACGCTCTTGTAGTACAGGCTTCAGTCGTTGTTTCGGAATGTTTGGTGTAACTAAACTCGGGGTAAATATTATCCGCGTAACGCAATCGCGGGCTCCGACGTAAACCGCGCGTACCTCCATCGCGCAAAGGTCCTGACGTCAGCAACGATCAGCCATGGAACGCGGTTTATCAACATGCGCAAGATCGGAAAGATAGATCGGGAATATAGCGTGCGCTTGGAATGAGAAAAAAAAAGGGAAGATGAAAATTGCGTTATCGGTTTGAGCTCTCGATATAATTCGCGAAAAAATGCACGGCGTCAGTCGATTTCCGTTTATCTAACTTGCCTGTTTCATTCCCGTGGTGTGTGTGTGTGTGTGTGTGTGTGTGGTGTTTCGCAGTCGCTTTCATAAAGATATCGAAACGCTCGTAGTAGGAAACAGAGGTATCGATCGCGATATGTACCGTATGCGTATGCATACTCGGCGGTGCATCGAATGGCTCCTCTGCATTTCATGCGCAGGTTATCGATGCAATATTCTTGACATTCGCGTGCGCCGAAGTCGTTTATCCGCACACAAGCGATCATTCGTAAGCATCGAAGATCTGCAATCCCGCTTGACAGTCGGGGAATGTGAAAGGTGGCTCTGTGTGTGTGTGTGTGTGTGTGTGCGTGTTGCATGCCGTTAAGGTCGAAAGTGGCTTCGTCTCTGCTCCATTAGAAGCGGCATTTAAAGGAATGTCAAAGTGGATGACAAACTTCGATGGAAAAACGCACTCATCCGGACGGAACTAAAAATATCGATAACGTTATCATTCATTACTGACATTATACTCGAAATCTGTGAACCTAACAGGAAGACGTTTACAGAAGTAAATAAATCAAGTGCGTGAATATAACATCCGAACTCATCAATCTTTCGGGAACGCGATAAAACAAATAACTTCTCGTTGGAATTTTTCCGACGATGCAAATCCGAGATTATATCCCTAATATTGCATCAGATATCTGACGATCCCGAAACTGCATTGTTATCTCCAACAAATGAATATAATCGCGACGCTACGTTCAATCAGCCATAATGAAACACACACATACACACATACACGCACACACGTACACATGGAGGATATCGACTGTCGTGGATCGTTCCGCAAAGCTGCACAATCCGAAAAGTTTGATTATCGCTCCTATATCTGACGCCACCGGCCGGCTACGGCGGAACGGAACGGTCTCAATGTTAACGGTTCCCGGCGCACAGAGTCGCGCATATAGGTAGGATAATTCCGGTATGTACGACGTACCCAAGGAAAATTTAATTTATCAAGTATTATTTATCATGTTTAAGGCAAATGAGCTATACAAATAAAAACTGTATATTGCCTACTGTTATAAAAAAAAATACTGGAAATACGACATACTTGCTTTTTCTACTTAACAGAAAATTTTTAGGAACTCTTGTATTTTTATTATATATCTCATAGGGGTGGGATATATGGCTTATAAAAAATTTACAAATAATACTTATAAATAAGACGTAAAATGATACAGTAACTTATAAAATGTATGTAAAAAAATTAGCTAGGATATAAGAATGAGAAATAAATATACGAAAAGTAATAGTAATAGTAAATAATAATAATAATAATAATAATAATAATAATAATAATAATAATAATAATAATAATAGTAATAGTGAAAGTAATTTCTAAATATTTAATCAAATAAATAAAAATTCTGTTTTACAAACATTGATGCAATAAAATTTGCAATATTTATTGCATAAACCAAACTCAAAGTGCTCCCTTACAGAGCGTCTGCACTGCGGCATAAATCCCGCACGCTAAAAATACCGTATATCCCAAGCAGGTGGGATACACAAGACATCAAGATAAATAAAGAATACAAGAGCTAAGCACTTGCATTTTGCTATATCTCATCCTTTAATATCTCTCTACACTTATGTATCGCAAAGTAAGCATTAAGCTTTTACATTCCGAGCAGTAATCATTTTAAGCAGGTCATAATATACA